TAGCGACATGGAACAGAGGCTCTCAAAGGGTCTTGCACGTCTATCTGTCTAGCCAGTCACAGACTGCGGACTCTTTGTCCTTATTTCTGTCTGTTGGGTCTCAGAGCTAGAATTAACATAACATGAAGTTGTTTTCAAATTTATTTTTAAGGAAGCTGCTACATAGCTTTTGTTGCTTTAGCTACTGCAGCAATACTATGTAAGTAGTGTAAAAATGGAGTTTAGGTAGTCCAGGAGAAAAAGTCTACTTTCAGAGATGAGCCACACTGTGGCAAGATGCAAGAAGGTGCAAAGGCTTCAGAAGCAACAGTAGAGAGAGTATAAAACCTACTGGTTCTTATGATTTGCACTGTGTTGAAACCCTCAGATACTTGCATGCCTTTAAAAAGTTATTCCACTTCGCTTTAAAAAAATTGCTATGCTGTGCTACCTAGAAAATATGTAACTAATGGGAGATTTCATCAACCAGAGCGAATTATGGATGTGATGATAAATCCAAAAAAGAGATCCCCAAGTAAGCAAAGACGCCATGATTTGCACCAGCAACAGGTACACTGGAACAGGTTGCCCAAAGAAGTTGTGGATGCACCATCATTGGAAGGGTTTCAAGGTCAGGGTGGACGGGGCTTGGAACAACCTGATCTAGTGACAGATGTTCCTGCTCATAGCAGGGGTGGTGGACTAGATGGTCTTTAGGGGCCCCTTCCAACCCAAACGATTCTATGATTCTATGAAATATGTAATACCTTCTATGGGACCTGTCCCAGTGTTGTTGTTAGTGGTTCACTGTACTGGTTTGGTTGAAGCAAGCTGCCTGCTCTGTGTACTCATTGCCCTGTTAACTGAACTGCTGATCCTGGTGTAGTCTGGCAAAGGCAAACTGCCTGATGGAAATGCCTTCTCACCCCTTTAACAGCCTGCTGGCACTTAGGATGGATATGTGTGGGGACAGAGTTGTTCTCTGCTGTCAAGGAGTTCCCTATATATGACACCAGTATTTAGTCACTTGACCTAATACCTTAGGGTATTAGGTGGGCAGTTGAATAGTATGCATGTGGATTGATCACTGCCTTGCCCATGCTGCAGTTTGGACACTGAAGTGCTTTCAATACTAAGTATGTGGTAGATGGAAGATTTAACGGTCTGCTTGAAGGCCAGGAAGAGGGGAGGTGGGGTCCCTCTAAGTCTTGCAGAACGAAGCCCCCTGGGGATCTCTGACTTGGTTACATGCAGTGGATTTTTTTGAACTGGACAGGGAACCGCTCCTCTAGGAGCGCATAAGTCACTGAAAACACATGGCACAGGACGTGAGGCACCAGGATTTATACTGCTAAGACACTATGTGCCCAGGTGGGAGGAAATCTGCATTTTCCTCTTTCTTGCCTTTGTCTCAGCTCCCAAAATTACAGGGAGGAAGTGGCCATTGAACTAGCGTAGTCTGTATACCATGGTCCTAAACATAACTCTGGCCTGGACTAGAGCCCACCATTTAGAAAAAGCATCTCTTCCTGATTAAAACATTCCTATGGTGGATTTACCACCAGCATTCTTGGTACATGGTTCCAGTAATTAATTATCCAGACTGCAAAAAATGCCTGCCATGTTTCTAGACTGGAGCCGGGGTGCGGGGACAAGGTCTGTGTCTCTGAGAACTGAGTTAGATAAGAAAGCCATCTGGGCAGTATTTGGTTCACTTCCTCACATATTCAGCCCCAGTTCATGCACAACTTTTCTGCAGCGTCTTCTATTTTCAGGATTTGTTAACTGGCCTGAATGAACCTCATAGCATCTGCATACATGATTATCCCCCAATATTGAAGGTGATGTGAGGTGCCAGGTAAAGTAAGTGATTGCCCTGCTGAGAGAACACCACATTGGGGAATACAGTCCTAATCTCCTGTTTGTCCTGATCTTTAACTTCTAGGTCATCATTGCTCTAATACTTGATACTGTCTTAATACTTTTTATTGTCCTTAACATTTTCCATCAATGGAGTGTAACAAATGCCTGTGAGCCAGTGCCAGCAAGCTAGCCTGAACCACAGGAGTCTCTTCAGCCCGTGTGCCACTACACCTGCATCCCTCTGCTTAAATTTGACTTTCTGCAGCAGTAGGATTAGGGAAGTACAAAGTAGTTCTGAGACATCTCTGTGTATGCACCTCTGATTTCTGTGGGCTGCAGACCTCTGTGCGTAATAGGCAGAGGATCAACATTAAGTAATGCCATGAAAAGCCATGCAGCAGGAGGACATCAGAGGGTGAGTGCCAAATGTAAACTCAAATGGAAATCATGAGACATAGTCTCAAGGTATCTTAGTTTGGTAAGGCAGTGTACATCTGAGTGCTTGATGAAGGTTGTTAATCTCTAGAGATGGGGAAATGCAGCAAAACGTGCTTACCCCAACAACTTTCCTTTAGCAGTTCTGACAGTTTTGGAAGAGTTTCTAGATATTGGAGCAGTTTAGGAAGAAAGCCAAGGAACCTCATTCAAAAATAGGCTAGTCCAGATTCTCACCTTAAGAGTCAGGGGATAACCTGGAGACTCATTGCAATTGACTTGGTCTCTTCAATTTCAATAGGTCAGACAGTCAAACAAGAAGAGTTTTGCCATTAACATCACTCGAAAAAGGAATTGACCCATAAACTTAAATTCGGCAACTTCATGTTCTCAGAAGCCAAATACAAAAAAGAGCAGAAAGCAAGGAAGAGTTATCCTCTGATGATCTGTTACGATATTTCATACATCTGTATACCTTTGTGTTTCATTTTGTACTTTTAATTCACATGATGAAGTTTTCAGACAGAAGTGGATGTCATGTGTAAGCTGAGTTCCTTGTTTTTTTCTTTTGCCTGTCACTGGCTGCATGTTCTCTATTGATGTCTTGTTCCTGGTACTTGACACTGACCATCTTGTCTGTGAAAGGAAGCACTCCAGCTGGTTTGCCTGATAAGAAGAAAGGAAAGTTTGCTTGGTTTAGTCACTCCACAGAAACCCATGGTAATGTTCCACTGCACTCTATGTCCACACTGCGTATATCTGTGTGTATGTGTGTCTATATATGCAGACTGACATATAATATAGCTTTGTATACTTCTGCATGTTCATGTCTTGCTTTTTCTTTTGCTTGTGCAGTGTCCTCTTCATGCACTCAAGATAATAAGCTGCTCTGCAAATCAATCTCTTGCTAATGTCTTCAAAATTGTTTTCCATTTGCAAATAAGCTCAAATATGTCTTGAAAGTGCTTTACCTCATCTTCAAAGATGACTTGCGAAATATCAATGTTTTGTTTTTTTCCTGAAGGGCTTAGTCTGGACCAAAAATTTTAATTATGAATGTTGTTTTTTCTTACAGCTTACTTGACTGTTTCACATACATCAAAATATGAAATCGGTTGATTCCTTAATTTGTCTTTCCAAACAGACAAGATTATTAAAACATCTAGTCTTCGTAAAGGAACAGGCACCATTAGAGTACAATATTTCATAGTTATGTCAAGAGTGCTAGAGAGTCCATTATTTCATGTGGTCCTAAGAACACAGCACAAGAACTTTAGATTTCCCAAGACATTTGTTGTAGGCATGTGAATTGTTGGGAAGGGATGAAGGAAAGATAACTCATTTTCAAGGATGTTTCTACCATAATGCTTTCAAAGCAGGAACCCAGGACCTCTTTGGAAGAACCTTCTGGTATCTTTCTAGCCTCTGAAAGAAGACCTGGTCCCACGGACCATTAAACATCTGCCCAATTGAAACGCAGAACCTATTTATTCTACATTGCCTCCTTTTGCATTAAGGATCCACAAACAGATGTGTTCTTAGTACTAAGTAACGTATTCTTACAGGCTATTAGAAGCCTCTCCAACAGCTAATAGTGTATGCTCTGAAGTCTCATCTAAGATATATATCCAACTGCTAATACAGGTCACGTTCTGAAGTTCTACCAGGCATCTGAGTGATCTGTTTAACTCCTCCATCATTCAGTTTTAAGCATCATTTTTTCATCTGTGTGTTTGAAAAGAGGGAAGGAGGGAAGAGGACACATACTGGGTCCTATCCATTGTCCTAACTTAACATTGAATTATTATATACTAAGGAGTTGTTAGAGCTCATATAGGAGCTGGGAGCAACTGGTGGAATGGACATGGTGAAATTTTTTTATGATCTGTAGAGCAAATAAAATATTGAGGTTTGATAACAGAGAAAATGTGACAGGTCCTTGAATCCAGATGTGATAGGTTGACACCTAAGGTTGCTTTCATTCATAAGGTTTGTTTCATGATACTTCTGTAAAAGCGTAGGAGATTCTATCCAGTTATTAGTTGGTGAGTGTCAGTCTAAGATCTCCACCATAGGCTATATTCATTAGCTCCTTTGTTGGTAATATCTGAATGGGTCAGAGAGTCTAAATTCCCCTCTTATCCCTATAGGTCCAGTTTGTAAGTGTAAGGTTGAAACATGTTAATGGTTAGTATATGACAGATGAGCCATCAGTATTATTCATGTGGTACTTGCTATCAGGCTAACAGAAGCCATTTGTCTGAATACATGTCAATCTGGTACTTTTTATTTGATCTAATCATCACACAAAAGATTGGGGAGGGCAGTGAGGTGGCTGGGCCTGGTGCAAGTAAAGGGGCATTCTTTTAAAGTGTTCCATTGAATCAAACAAAAGCTTCTTGATGCCTTTGACAGTTTCTCTAATTTTCAATGATTCTCATTCATAAAATTTCCAGGAACTGACTGTGAAAGAAAGAGAGCAGCTGCTTCTTCCCTTTTCTTTAGCATTTAAGTAACCTGTGTATGTTCCTGAATTCTACCTGCCCAACCTGACCTGTGCAGGGAGGCACTAAACTTGCTCAGTAAATTGCTTAATCCTCAGGAGCTGCAGCTAAGGGTCTTTTCATTAAGCCAGTTCCTTCACTCATGTGATTCATTAATAGATGCGCCAGGTTCTAATGGCCAACCCTCTCTTTTTCTTCCCTTTGACTCTTACAGTGAGCATGCCCACCAGTGAGACCGAGTCCGTGAACACAGACAACGTCCCTGGAGCAGATATTGAAGGCGAAAACTGCGGTGCTAGGCTAGCGTGAGTACATATACACAGATATATGTATGTAGGGGTTGGATTGAGCTTGGCGGATTAAAGCCAGGACAAATGTCAGGCTTTTTAATGGGAAGAAAACTCCACAGTGGGTGAAAGGAGAGGGTGCAGAAGATCTATTGATCCCAGTTCTTATCTTAATTGCAATGTAAACTCACTCTGGACATTAGTGGAGAGCCTCTGGGTTTACATAGATGTAAATAAAGCACAGAATTCCCAGGATAAGCAGATCTGGGGTTTGCGTAATAGCTAAAAGAAGAACTGATGGATAATAGTGTTCTTATTTTAAAATTCCTCATTGATGATAGATAATCAAATTCAGCATATGTAGACCAAAGGGTGGAAATGACTGATCTATTTTAATTTCTCTGATTATTCTTGTACACTTTACAGTGCCTTGTAATAGAAATACATGGAAGATAACTCCCATCCTGCAGCCTGAGTTACACCCTTCAAATGCTAAACACAATACTGTAGCGACAAAGAAATACATCAGTTAGGAGGGAGTAGTGTCTCCTCGAAATTGCACCATTGTAGTTAATGGAGACACTCAAAAATGTGTGAGATAGCACTTATGGAATACCATATTATATGGTGTATTTTTTAGCATCACAGAGAGCAAGAATAGGCAAGAGGAGTCCTTTCTTGCCTTTTGAACAAGAATGGACTTTATGCTGTGGGGGAATATACTAGTTCCTCCAAATTTCCTTGAAAAATGGGCTAAGCATACCAGTGCTATAGCTTGTACCATGCTGGAGTGTTTTGAGGCTCTGTTCTCTCCTTGGGCATACTTTGAGCCCTTCAACAGTGGTCAAATGCTCATCATAAGTACATAAGAAATGCTGTGTTTTGTCAGACCTGTGGTCCAGCTGGCCCAGTGTTCAGATCCTGACAGTGACAGGAGGGCAAGAGCGCAAGCCTGGCCATTTCCTACTTTCCAGTCCCCTTTTACAGTCCCAAATTCATGCTTATTGGATTAGAGATGTTAGAGGGCACACTTCTGCTTTTTGCCTCTAGCGGCCATTTATGGACCTGTCATCCATGGATTTATCTGAATCCACTAAGGCTGTCTGCCCTCACAGTCTCCTGTGGCAAGAACTTTCAGAAGTTCACTACCTGCTGTGTAGACAAGTATTTTCTCCTATCTGTTTTAAGCTGATCTACTACTACTTTCAGTCAATGTCCTCTCTGTCTAATACTGTGAGATTTGGTGATCAACAGTTCCACATTCAGCTTATCTATCACTTTCATGACCTCGTAAACCTTGATTGTATCTCACACACACAGCCTTGACCCTCTCCTCTGCAAACTGAAGAGGAGGAGATCTTATCTACATTACAAGCTGTGATACATGGAATATGTTGTAAATTCAGTCTGCTTTCCTGTAAGTGTCAGCCAGCAACGTACAAACCCCAGGAGAAATTATTTGTGATAGCTTTCCTTCACCTGCCTGCTGTTGCCTACCTGCTGAGTCTTTTAGTTTAGATTATGAACTCTTTTCTGAAGGAACCAGGCTAGACCTATTCACAGCACTGAGGCAGTTGTAGCCCTTCCTTTAGCACCCCACCAAGTTGCTTGTGCTCTTGTTGCATTACAGGAAGCAGCAGCTGGATATCTGACCAATTCTTCCAGCTGGATCCAATTTGGAGAATCATCTTTATTCTGCAGTTATGGTTCCCAACACAATGGGTCCCCTGGTGCTACACAGTGCCAACAACAATGGCGACTGTTACTATAAAAATGCATATATTTTTAATATCACAGCTTGCATTCGTTTAATGTCCTTAATCCCAAAGTATCCTAAAGCACTTTATGAACTGTAAATGCGAGGATTCTTTTCACAGCATTAGAGTTCAGCCACCGTCAGGGTAAAATGTGACAGGTGTTTAAAAACAAAGGGCACAAGTGTATAAGGAGATGTATGAGGGTTAGCTTGTTTTGCACTGAAACTGTATGGGGAATTTTGGCAAGTAGAACATAATTATCTTAGCCGGAATGTGGCCAAGAGAGCTGAAGTTAAACCCAACTCTAAATGAAATCATGACTGAGAATAGAGTTTACTTAAAATAGCCCAACATGCCCACAGGAGAAGGGCAGTACTGTGGTCTGGCACCGCGATCATTGTACTCCTGGCATCAGGGGAAGGGATGGGTACACCCAACACATTTTAGGGAAGAAGACATAGGAAAATGACAGGAAAACAAAACTTCATTTCTTCTTCCCATGTTTTAAATGTTAACATAGGGCCCCAAGTTTCGCCAGAGCGAGGCATGTAAGATTCAGGGAAATAAACAGTTTCCTGGCCACTTTCCACTTCATTTGAAAGTGGGTGATGTATATTGAAGTCTGTTATTGAGAAGGGTTTTTTTACCCCTTACCCAAGGACAGTTAAGATCCTCAAGGCCTCACTCAGATTGCTTTTCATCTCTAAGAGATGGATAGGCTCCTTTATCTGGGAAAATTAATGGCTGTATCATTGTATTTGAAATTCTGGAGTGAGATACAAATTTTGCCAATGATTCCTGCTTTTGTAAAATGTCTGTTTTAAACTTGTGGAGCAGCAAATTCTTTAGTTATGCATAAATTCAGATCTAACTTTGATTCTGAGGCTTGGAATCCTTTCTGGTTTGTTTTGTTACTTCATCACACACACATGCAGAGAGAGAAACCAGCTTTCCTGGTTTCAAGAGGTATTAAGTCCTCCTCTTCTCACTGAGCCCTCATTTAGAACCCCCATAGGCCAATAAAAAAAACATATAAAATGTAAGCAAGAATTTATTTGAATGAGTATTTTCTTTTATTGGAACCTAAGAGAATCAGAATTTGGCCCCGTGTTCAAGAACAGAGATAATTCATAGGGGAAGTCAGTTGAACTTTTCAAGTAAGTTCCTCATCTAGTACTAGTGACTTCGAGCAAGCATTAATAATTATAGTCATGCCATCCTGATTTGCTCTAGTTGTAGATTAGGCCCAAACTTTTAGGCAGGCATCTGCCCTCTGGATTTTGTTTTTACAGTTGAAGTGGCTAGACAAGTTTTTTGTTCGATTGTTCAATTTCATCTGTTGCATGCTAAAACTCACCTAGTGGCCATAAGTCCCCACGGCCTTGCTATAAACACATTTTTTCCCAGAAAGCAGAGACTGCACTGGGCAAGCTGCAACCGGACATGACTGAAGCAACAGGGAGATTTCAAGCTAAAGGTAGCATTTATTTAGTGGCATCAGGCTCCTAGGACACCACCCCAGCACCACCACCACAGTTACGGGCTGAGCTTGGCATCAGAATGCTCTCATGATAAAAGGAAAAAAGTACCCAGGAGAGTGAAAGAAAAAGCATTTTTATTGAAGATAACTTAGAATTACTGGATGTTCTTTCTGTTCTTATAAAAAGCTATAAAGCTTTGAAAGGCTGGGTCTGTGAATGACAGAAAGATCTGCTTGAGAAGCCAGGCTCAACCGTGCCTTTTGGAAAAGGAGATCTTCCCTGACAGCCTTTCTCAGCTCCACAGAGACATATGTTATGTGAGATCAGGAGAGTATCTCTTAAAAACAAGCTATCTCCCACTGATGAATTGTCTCAAAGAAGCTTTTATTTCTGTGGTATCCATACTATAGAAACTGCCTTCATCAGCTGTGCTGTCTGGAGCAATGCCAGTCTTCAAACCAGCAGAAGGAGTTTCAGGAGGAATCTAACATCTAATCTCTCTTTGCTTATTGTATAAATCCAGTTCCTTAGAACCAAAACAACAAAAATAAAACTTCATTCATATTCATTCCTGGTGTAATTCTGCTGCCATTGGGAGAACTGTGGCAGGAGGTAGTTCCCTTCCTAAGATGAGTGTTAGATTTATCAGACATCTGAATTTGAAGAAGGTTTTGTAGGGTTCCACAGGACATTGAAAAGCATCCCACAACTTCCGCAGTATATCATCCCTGCCATGGTATTGCCTTGTACTGCGCTGACATCTGCCCTGCAGTAGAAACACAACTGCTTTTATCCTGAAGGACAATGTTTGGAAGTGGAACTTATCTTACATCTGATGTGGCACAGCTTGAATAACCTGCTGCCTCTGGGTACAAATAAACATGTTTCCTCTGCAGCAAGCATCAGTGGGACAAACCCAGAACTAGGAGCAATGGGTTACTATTTACAGGATAGCTTTACACCCAGGACTTCCCAATAGCAAATAATTTCCCTGAGCCTCTGTGGTTACTGCTGTGCAGGATTTAGATTCCTGAGAATAGGCTATTGCTCATAATCAATAGTAATCTGTCCTGTGCAGGATGTCAGCATATATAATCTTCCAATACAACCAGAATGTTAATTTTCTAATACAGCCATACAGATCTGGAGTGGCACAATAAAGCTTGCTTTTATACATATGTATTAGATAAAAAAAAAGACCTTTGTGGAAACTAATGTTTCATAGAGCCTCAATAGAAAAGTGAAACACTTGAGCTCAAAGGGAGAGAGAGCTTAAAATTATCTGCTTTCATTGAAACAATAAGCCACTTGGCCAGGATTTGCATACATTTGGGGGACAGTTCAATTGCTTTTCCACCAAAGAGGGTTAAAACAATAAAACAGGATAAAATAAATGAACAACCTACATTGGCTTTCCAACTGAAAACAGAGTGTCCTGAAAATATTATGAACAATGGAAGCTTTCCCTAGCAGCTGAACCATCAGTGATTTTCCTTTGGTGCTTTTCTGGCTGGGAAAATAATTGCTGTGCAGTTCTTGCAATAATCAGCGTAGGAGCCAGTGGTAAAGGTGAAAGAGGCAGTTTGCTTGCAGGTTCACTATAGTTGCTGCTGGTTTTCACCTAATAAGAAGATAGCCTCCTTCTGTGAGGTCCAAAATCCCAATCACATCAGGAGCAGTGGTAAGAAAAGTCTGCCAAAAGCTCTGAAACCACTACTGACTTCAGCAGGCAAACACACAGGATCGTCCCTTTTGTGTCAGCCTCGGCTACTGCTCTCCAATTGATTATGAGTAAGGTGCTTTTGATACTCACAGTCAGCTCTAGATATGTGTCTAAAGGACAATGGCATGCCCTTGTGGAGGAGGAATTATCTTCCTACTTCGGATTCTGTGACAGGCCTTGCCTTTGACTTGGCACAGGGAGAGCAAGATTATTCACTAAGAGCTGAAGTGCTGGCCTATTTTCCCAGCCTGTAAGAAAACCTGTTGAATAGCAAACCAGCTCAATTTTAAGCTAGATAGATCCATTTTTCTTACACATGTTATGTAGATTCTTACTGCTGCTGATCAACAACCACCTCTCTCTTAAAACCAGTCTCACTCGCATCAGGTCTGCATGCTTTCCAATGCTTCTGCAAGGGCAAGAACACAAAAAAAAGAGAAGAGGCATTGCTGTTTGGACTCCGCTGAAATTCAGTGATTGCCTCAGCAGGAGGATCTCAGTCCACATCAGAACATAAGTTCTCCAGGGCCAGTCATCTGTTCTGCTGGAAGCTTTCAATTAATGGTCAGAAATGAGAAATGGTCATTGCATGTCCCTGTACAAATCCCCAGTGTTAATTGTGTTGTACAGAGGATAGCAGGCAGAAGGATGGAGGTCTATTTCTTCGGTGTGAATCGCAGAGGCATAGCTGAGGGTAGAACTTAGCCCAAACACTTTACTGGGCTAAGAGATTATCAGATATGCAGCATGCATACTTGAAAATGTCATGTCACTGTATGCTCTTGTCCCAGTAATATGTTGAAAAAGGACACTAGGGTGGGCATCTTCTCTTCAGGGATGCCAGCATCCTGACTAGAAGCAATGAAATATCATCAGAAAGAGAGAGGGAAAAATGTTGTGCCACTTGACCTGTAACTGCATGAATGCACCAAAACAGAATCAATATCACACTAGGACTGTGTTCTCACAGTTCTAAAATCTCTAAGATATGCACAGTGCAGCTTTTTGGATGTCCCCAAAGTTGTGTATAACCTAGAGGCACAGTAAGTAAATTTCTGTGTTACTGCTTTTTCTAAGAGCTTTTACTAGTATCTAAGGAGTTTTGTAAGTCCTCATGAAGATAATTGCCTATAGGTGGAAGCACATAGTGTAAACATAGTTGTGACCAGCATGCCAGATAATTTCATGGTCATGTTCAGCAATTTCTATACCCAGAAAACCACTGTAACATGGCCTTTGTGGCATGCTTGGAGACCTACAAGATTTTTCCAGAATTGTTTGTTGTATGTACAGTTACGCAAAGTCCTCAATCCTGTTATACAAGAGTGTCACATCCTTCACAGGTGCATAGTTTCTCTTCTCTGGTGTCCACCATGAACAGAGAAACAAAGACTTTATCTCTCAGAATGTGGGATATCTCACTGCATTTGTATTATGCTGATTATCATGAGTCGATTTTGATGAAATCTTTAAATTTCACTGTCTTATCTATATGTGGTACATAACTACGTAAGGTTAGAAGACTTTTAGAGAATTTAAAAGATAACTAGTCAAACAGTAGAGGTCTGATTTTTTCGTTTGTCTTTCTAAAAGATAATCTGAGTTACATGATTCCTATGATAAAAACACCCAGTAGAGATCTGAAATGGTTTTCATATAGGATCTTATACCATGATTTTAAACAATAGTTTCTCAAGACATTCCAGACCTGGACAGAAATGGGGACACTCTTTTTCTCCCAATGACATAAAGCTCCCAGGATACCAGGGATGCAACAGATCCATGTTCAAACTCAGCAGAGAATCTGGTCCACCCTGAACCCCCGGCAAGTGCCAGTTTGGAGTGTCACAAAGAGGTCATGGCAAGGCCCCAAATCCAGACTATTTGACAGCCCCTAGTGACATCATAAGAACATTTTTTTATATGTTAACCCTGGTTCTGAAAGACAAAAGATTTCTGATCATAGAAGTAATTTGAAAAATGTGTTTCATATTGGGGCATAATGTTTTCAGAATCAGTTATTGTACAGTTTGTGTTTCCAAAATTCCATTTCACTCTTGGATTCTGCCTCTAAATATAAATCTCTTCCTCCTTCCTTGTCCTGTTCTATATATATAGCACACCCACATGTGATAAAGCCTTCTGCCATAGCAGTAAGGCAAG